TGGTAGAAGTGTGTGAGGGGCGGAGGTGATGGGTGCCATTGCCGGCCGTGCGCCTTTTCTACGGCTGTGAGAGGCTCTACAACACGCAACGCCCCGCATGCATCAGGAGTCCGGCCCTTGGCTGGTGTTGTGCGAGTAGATCGCTGCAAGAACGCGGGGGCAACAACCTCGCAGCACCTGCAGCTTAAAAAGCTGCCGCGCGCGCCCACCCACGCCACCCACCTCTTCTCCCTGGCCTCTGCCTCCTGCCTGCGCTTGTCGCGCTCCTCGTTGCGCTTGCGCCACTCCTCCTCACGCGCCTGCGATTAACGGCCAGCGCGTTGCAGCCAACCCGTCGGTCAAGACGGCTTCGTGGAGGGTTGAGCAGCGGGCTGTCCTGCCTGCGGCCACCGCAAGCGAGCCCCCGCCTACAGCCCAAGCACAGGCCGGGGATGCCGTTGTGCACCGAGGGGGACGCCAGGAGCCAGAGCGTGTTCCCCTCACCCCTCACGCGCGCCCACGCGCTTGCATACCATGCTTACACATGACCACAGGCGCCTATGCTTGTCCCGCATCTCGGTACTTCCTGCAGTCGATGCACCCCACGCACCTGCTTCTGCTCCTCCTTGCGCCGCGCCTGCGCCTCTGGGTCAAACGCCTCGCCCCACTTGATGTCCTCCTTTATGCCAAGCGCCTTGCGCAGCTTCTCCATCTGCTCCTGCTTGCGCGCAGCCACCGCGTGCGTCTCGTTGCTGCGAGGGAGGCCGGCGGTTGGGAGGTGTGAGTGCGCCGGAAGGGTCTGGCAGACAAGCGCCAGGGCGAACGTGTGAGGAAAGCGGGGAGCTGCAATCCGCGTCGCGCTCTGATGTGTGTGCCAGAATGCGCCATGAGAGACGCGGCGCGCTGCTGCACACGTGGGGCATGCGTGCTTGGTTTCTTGCAGACGCGGATGCAAATGCGCTTGCAGCTGGGAGTGGTGAGGAGAAGGGGGGGGGACGTGGCCGCCGCGCACCTGGCGTCCGCAGCGGCTCCGCTCTGCTGCTTCTCAAACTCCTCCTGCAGCTTCGCCCTCTCCTGGGCCAGCAGCCCCTCTATCTCGGCCGCAGTGTGCCTGCGAGGACGAGTATGAGGACGATGGGGTGGGGTGGCTGGTTGGGTGTATGTGTGCGGGTGTGGGGCAGGTTGACGCAGGGCAAATTGTACTGCCGTGGTTGAACAGTGCTGATGCGCCGGAGCACGGACATGCTGCGGTGGCACCAAAGGGGCAACCGCCGCACGCGCCGCCAGCACTGCAAGACCACGTCCACCTGGGCCCTCACCCCGCCTCCTCCAGCTGGTCGCTCAATTCCAGCAGCTTTATCTCCAGCTGGCGCCTACGATTGTGCTCCAGGATCTCCTTGTTGGGCTTCCTGTCGGTGTGCTGCGGGCCATCCTGGCCGTCGCCAAACTTGGGCACTGGCGCGCGGCGCAAGTTGAACTTGTTGGTCTGTACATGGCCGCTGGTGCCTGTGCCGCGCGGCGTGAGGATTCCCACTCCGTTGTACATCCTGACAGAAGCTCAAGGCGAGCTGCAGGGTCGAGCCAGGCCGCTCTGGGGCCCGGAGCAGGACGTGTGCCTGCTGAAAGCAGCCGCCGACGCGCAGTAGCGTCTCAAGCAGCAGTTTATACTGTATGTAAACTGTAGCTGGGTGTGAGGGTGCACTACAAGCGACTGGGAGGCAGCTGCCTGCAGTTGATCTGGCTGCAGCGAGGAACGGGAACGCCCTCACACATGTAAGACTATTGAAAATTGTCCAAGTGTGGTTGCATGTGAGACTATACGGTACTATGCGTGATCTGTGACTTTGCAGTGCTCCCCCTCCTGTGTTGTGTGTTGTGCTGTGCTGCTGTGCTCAGCACGTTATGGCTGCTTTCAGACCTGCAAGCATGTGTTCCAAACCTGATACTAGGCTTTACATTTCTAGTCTGACAGAGCCTCACAACCTGCTGCCAGCCCCTGCACTTGGCACACATTGGCCGCCGACATCAGCTGAAGCAAGCTGCTGCATCAGACTCTGGATCCGCGTGTCCCTGCCCTGCCGAGCCAGTTGCGTCCTGCACCTGGGTGGGACAGACCAACCTCCCCAGACAGAGCACAATATTACATTCCGAGGACACGGCTCCTTGCGCACGGGCCCGTGTAGAGGCTCTGCGTACGCAAGCCTCAGCTGCATCAACACAAATTCCTGGGCTGCGGGGTCCAGCAAATGAGCCAGAGGCGAGTCAACTGGCACTCAGTGGCAGCAACATCACCCCTCTCCACATGCCCCAGCAAAGCCCAGCACCCTTCGGGCGCACACGCCGTGTAGAAATCAGATCTTCCTCCAACGGCCGCAGGCACCCGTCGCCGCAAAGACGGCGTGGGTTGCCCTGGACGCGGCATACAACCCTCCTTCCAACGTGCACAGGGCACAGGAACTCTTCCATTGCAAAGCGGCCGTGCGCTGCGGAGCGGGCGGCATCAAAAGGTGGCAAACCAGACAATGTGGCCGAGGCGGTTCTGCATGCCATGCCACAAAATGGCAAGTGTGATGCGTCTGCGTATGAATAAGCGTCGCGTCTCCCCGTCCAGCTTTGGTGAGTTTTTCCTGCAGCACCGCGTGTAAGCCGCACTTCAAACAAAAGCACGCGGGCCGGCGTGCAACCAAGTCCAGTGCAGCAGACCCGGATCGCCGTGGGCCATCGCAGAGTTGTCCATTCCCTACCATCCTCCCGACACCCTTTGCCCCACCCTGCTCCGCCCCAACACTGGGCCACCCCACCGCGTCAGGGTGCCCGGCCACACCAAACCCGTCCGCCCAGCCCATCCAGGGGCCTGAGCAGCGTGCACATTGCAGCCCTGTGGCCGCGGAAGCGGCAGCCTCCTGCGCCATCCGCCCTCGTTGGCCCCCCACGCGCTCCGTGTGAGCCAACAGCGAACGGCAGGGAGCCAGCTGGGCATGGCAGCCCCCTTAGGCGCCACCGGAGCCGTCCGGAGCCCGGCGGTCACACGACCGCCGCGCCGGCCGCGACAGGAGACCCGAGGTCGGACGCGGCGCCGCTGCTGGCCGCGCCGCCGCTCTCGTCGTCCTCAAACCGCACGCGCTTCATCGACAGCGCCAGCCCCTTGGCCCACGCGCGCGCGGCCGCCGCGGCGGCCGCCTTGCCCGCGCCCGTGGCGGCCCCCTCGCCCTCGTCGCCGCTGGCGATGCTCCTGTCGTCGCAGCTGCTGCCGGAGTCGAAGCTCGAGGACGGGGCAGAGCTGAAGGAGGGCATGTGGCGCAGCACACCGCGCGGCGCGGCCGCGGCGAGGCCGGGGCTGCTGCAGCGCGACGACGCCGCGTCGTCCACGCCCGCAGGCGCGCCCGCGGCGGGGTCGGGGCCAAAGGTGTAGTACGACACGCGGCCGCCGGTGGCCAGCTCCTGGGCGGTCGCCGACTGCACGCCGTAGCCGGGCGGCGGCGCTGCGAGGGAACCCCAGGCGTAGCCGCCGCAGCGGCTGGCGGCGTCGACGGAGAGGGAGGCGGAGAGGCTGCCGGGGCGGAAGATGGCGGCGATGCGGGCGAGCATGTCCGCGGGGCAGAAGGCGTCGGCATCAAAACCGGTGACCTCCACGCTCGCATAGGAGAAGCCATCCTCGGGCCTGGGAGTGCAGGGGCGGGCGGGGGTCCGTGTTGGTCGAGCTGCAAGCGCGCGTGTGACTCTAGGCCGGACCAGGGCTTGCCAGGCGCAGGCCGACGCGCAAAGGGGCACCGCCCCTTCGCTCAGGACTGGTGCTCGCCAAGGCCACGTCAGAGCCAGGCTTCGTTTGACAGATTCGAACCCAACTCCCCCACTCTGTTTGCATGATCTTCTGACAATCCCTGACCCTTCCCCCTTGCTCCTGCCCCTGTTCGCCAAAGCCCCCCGGCTCACGTGATGTGGATGGTGATGAAGCCTCCCCCCAGAATGCCGTTCATGGAGTAGCCGCACGGCTCGAACACGTAGTCATCGATGTCGGCGCCTGGGGGTGGGGTGTGGAGGGGGAGGGGGTGAGCGGGGGCGCAGGGCGCTGGGTGGGGGGGTTGGGGGTTGGTTGCGCTCTGATTGGCGTGATGGCGGGTGGTGCAAGGGAGGACAGCTGTTGTCGGAGGGGTGCAGGGGCGGCCGGGCCCCCGCCGGCTGTGCTTGTGTGCGCAGGAAGGTGGAGGTAGGTATCCGCCACACGCCAGTGAGAGACGATCCAGCCTGCAGCAACAGCCTGCTGCTGAGCGGCTGCGTGGCCCTGGCGCAGTCTTGTCACGCTCATGAGGCAGCCCTGTTGCCGAGACTGCTGACATCTCCACCGCCACAACAGGCCCCCCCCCTCAACACACCCTCACCCGGCACGAGCCCGCGGATGCCGGTGTCAGTGGTGGTGCGCGCCGCGCTGACAAAGGCGGGGTTGTCGCGGTAGAACGCAGCAGCCGCCACACGGCAGAGGTCCGTCATGCACACCTGGGACGCAGGGGCGGCATTCGACGCGCGTTGAGCTGCTGGTGGCGCCCACCCGTGACAGGGTCCCCTCAGCGCATGAGCCTGACATCCTGTTGCGGCAGGGCCTGGGTGCCAAGTACCGTTGGGAGTGCGGGACCCAGCGCCAGCGAGGCCGCTTTCGCCCCGCGCCCCTTGATTGAGGTGATTGCCCGCCGCCTCCCGCCACTATCATATGCGCACATGCTGCAGCACAGCGCTGCGGCGCACCTCAAACTTGTGGAAGGGCCGCCCCGAGGGCGGGGCGTAGGCCGCGTCGGCCCCGTGGGCGTCCGCCACATACACATGCCACTGCGCGCGGGTGGCAGGGGGGTGCAGGGGGTTGCACCGGCTTCATGGTGGGTGGGTGACCGCGGGTAGCAGCATCATGCGCTGGCATGGCATGGGCTGCCAAGGGATAGGCGGCTCGCGTGATGGTGGTGGCACCAGCTCCCCCAACAACACCACCATGGCCCAACCCTCATCAGGCACTATGTGCCCCCAAAGCCTTGCTTCTTAATGGAGGAAACCCACACATGCACACTCGCACACACGTATGAGACCACACCACACACCTGCAGACCGTTGAACATGTCCCCCAGGACGTAGGCGCTGCCGCCGTTCCCCAGGTGGCCTGCACCATTTCAAGTAGAGGTGCAGCTTGGTGAGACGAGGCGGCAGGCGGGGTCGAGTGCCCAGGTCTCAGGGACCCCAGTGAGCCGTGCCGGCTGCGCACCACCCGCAGCAGGCAGGAGGGGAAGGTGCCGCGCTGATATTGATGTTGACACGCGGCTCCATCATGTTGAAGCACGAGAGCAGCTGCACATCGAGGTGGTGTCTGCCAGCCCGCTGACGAGGCTGTCCGGCCGGCCGGTCGGCCCTGTGTGTCCCGACCCACCAAAGTGTGTGCGCAGGAATCGTGCCTCCTGGTCAAAGCCCTCCCTGTAGGGCGCGGGCTGCTGCTCGGGGAACAGGAAGCTGGCACGGCTGTACTTGCAGCGGCGCGGCGCCATGCCCAGCCCCTGCGACGCCAGCTCCAGCAGCCTGGGGACCTGGGGGCGGCGGCGTTGGCGGGGAGCCGGGGCGCGTTTGATAGAGGTGAGGGCGCCCCCTCTCCGCCGCCGCTGCCTCCGACCATCGCTCTCCCCTGCTCGCGATCGCCCCCTCGTTTTTTTGCAGCACCCACCGCGTTGAGCAGCTTGGTGGTGCCGCACGTCTTGAGGACCCACTTGGTGGGGTACACAAAGAGGGACGATTCTGACAGCACGTACGCGTCCAGGTGGTCGTTGGTGCGGCTGGACACGATGGTGCAGGCCGCCAGGGACATGAGCTCGTCCAGCTGGGCGCGGCTCAGCGCGCGCAGGCCGGCGGCGGGCGTAGAGGCAGAGGGCGCAAAGTCGATCTCTACGCGCTTCTCGCTGCCCTCGAAGATGGGGTTGGGCAGGACCATTGAGGGGCGGCGGTCCGCCATGCTGTGTAGGTTAACGGTTTATGCGCTCCCGGGCGTGCTGCTGCTGTTGCGATCGTTGCTGCCGCTACTGTAGCTCCTGCTGCTGCTGATGCTGCTTCAAATGCGCCTACTAATGCGGCTGCTGTGGCTGCTGCTGCTGCTCCTGCTCCTGCTCCTGCTGCTGGCTTGGCGTGCGTAGCTGCCTGATGCTGTGGAGCAGCTGGTGCACGTGGCTGATGGGCTGCTTGATGCCCCACAATGCAGCTGTAGGCGATGCAGGGTTAGATTCGACGATGTAGGCACTGCAAGATTGGGCGGGCGGCGCGGCATATGGGTGGGTCGCATTGGGGCCTGCCTGGGGTAATCGAGTGATGTGCGGGCGCCGCTGGCGAGGGGGGGCACGGCAGGGGTGGACCTGGCGCCGCTGCAATGTGAAGGCGTCTGTTGTCCTTAGATGCTCGATGGTTCTATAATTTGTCTAGGCATTGATGCACCGCCCCAGGCTGCCCGCAACGAGAGCAGCCCGGCGCCGCACTCTATCGATGCACACGGCCCCTGCTGGGGAGACCTGTCGGGGTCATGTACCCACTACATTATCAAAACACATTCATCTAGACCTTACGCGCATTCCCCGACGCTCACATCACTGAAATTGGGAACGGAGTACCGCAGGGCGATGGCGACACGCTTCGAGAACGCTGGTTAGCCACTTGAACACTGGTTAACGCGATTGTAAACTTTGTATTACTGTAGCTCATCAGAGGTCAAAACGGTTAGGGGCAGAAATGGGCCTCATTAGTCATTCGGTCGACAGCAAATTGAGGTGGACCAGAAAGGGGTGTATGGAGCAGCTTGCCTGAGTCCCGGAAAAAATCAGCGCGCTGTGCTCTTTCGGAGGCCGAGGGAACCGGCAGGGGGTCGGTGCGGGGTACACCGTGCACCCCCGGACACTGTGTAGGCAGCGCTTCCTTTGTTGGTTCCTGCGTCGCCGATCAACCACCTGGAGAGCTTGGAAACAGCGCAAGCTGAGGGCAAAACCTCCGCACCGTCAGTTCAAACTTTCCCTAAGCCCTCACCAATGGCTGCGCGCCCGCTACGTGCAGACTTCAAGACTGGTTGTCTGCAACTTTCATGCTTGCGCTGCTAGTATGATATAAGCGTCTCCTGATATGTTCTAAACTGGTTCAATCTGCAGCGAGTGTGGTGGTTCCAGCGATCCCTCCTGTGTAGGCCCCTGGTTGCCCGCACACGGCCCCACTTGTACATCAGCACAGGCCAGCTGGCAGCCCCACCCCTACCGCAACCCACAGCGCGCCGTTACTCCGAGCGACCAGCCCAGCCTTGCCCGGGAGAACAGAGGGAGCGCCCAGCTGACAAGCCGTCCCATGCACCAGGGGGTGCGCCCGCCAGATGCAGTCACTGCAGAGTGCGACAAAAACCAGATGAACACGGCCGAGGATATATTCTGGGGTCGGGGCTGAGAAACAAGAGGAGGTGAGAGCTGACGGCGCCACGGCGCGGCGCGCTGTGCTATGCGGGCGTCGAGGGAGGTGGGGGAAAGTGCCGTGCCGCGCAGCCAAGTGGGCGGCCTCGGCTAGAACAAGAGGACGACGAAGCGACCAGGGGTCGCCACAAACGATGCAGACCAAATGGCGACGACGACAGGGCCCTGCTGCTGCGACAGCCGTGGCCGCCGCCGCACCCGCGGCACGGCCAAGCGGCCCATGCCGAGGCCAATACGATGAATGCAAGCGTGGGCTGGTGCTGGCCGCCGCCAGCAGATGCGCGCAAAGGCGCGACGTGGCCAGACCACGGCCACGGGACGGCGGATGGGGTGGGTTGGTGCCTCACGCCCCGTCACCGCCATCAGCACGCCCCATGCAGCAGCCGCGGCCGCGGAAGGGACCTCGGCGGCGGCGTGCCGGTGTGTAGGCGGCGACGTTTGCAGGCCGGCGCCGGCCACAGGCGGGGCCGGGCCGCGCGCTGGCGCAGCAACGACGGCGGTTGGCACCCCTGTGGCGCCGCACCGCCGGCGTCCTTGCGCCGACCCGGGGTATGAATCACAGGAACTGCGGCGGTGGGCAAAGGCAAGGGGTCACAGACCGAACGAAGCACAGGAGAGGCGCCCGTGGCAACAGGCAAGTGTGCGCAACGGATGAAGGCGATCAGCGCCGTTCAACGCGCCCCGCCACACGCGGCCCAACCCAACAGCATCGGCACCCCGCCGCCAAACAAAGCCCCTCGCCCTGCCCCTGCGCCCCCCGCTCACGTAGTCTGGCGTGCGCCGCGAGGCCTCCGGCTCGCCCCTCCGCGGTGCGGGCTCAAACTTTTGGAAGCCCTTGGCCATTGTCTCAGACACCTCCATCAGGGCGGCCAGGTTGCCTGGGGGGTCATGAGAAGGGGGGGGGGAGGAGGGGGCCGCCAGGACAGCGGGCAGTGAGAGGGCGGGACGCTGTGTGGCGGGCGGGACCTTCGCTGCAGCCCGGCCGCCGCGAGTGCGCAAACAGCTCCGCTGGGGTTTGGAGCGCCAACACGCCCGTGGGCCTGGCCGGGCTGGTGCTCCGTTGGCGTCGCGCGCATGTGCCCACCGCAGCGGTAGCAGTAGTTGGGTGCGCTGAAGACGGTGACCACGCTCTGCTCGTGGCTCCAGTTGTAGCCCTCCATCACGAGCTGGTGGGCGCGGCTGATGAGGTCCAGCCCGTTGGTGTGGTTGAACTG